CAAACTCTTTCAGAAAATAGATGGGGAGGAAACACTTTCCAACTCATTTTGTGAGGCCACCTATTATTCCGTCACCTGAACCAGAAGAAGAAATCACATGAAAAGAAAACGACAGAACGATCTCCCCTCTCCCAAAACAAGTTAAGAAATTCTTAACAAAATATAAGCAGATAGAATCTAGCAACATACAAAAAAGAATTACATACCATGATAAACTGGTGTTATACCAGGAATGTAAAATTAGTTCAATATCTAAAAATCATGTCATGTAATATACCATTATTAATAGAACAAAGGACAAACACTACATGATAATCTTAACAGATGCAGAAAAACATTTGATGAAACTCAAGAACCATTGATTATTAAAATTTTTAGCAAAGTAAGAACAGAAGAGAAATATCTCAACCTGATAAAGGGCATATAAAAATCCCACACTTAAAATCATACTTAATGGTGTAAAAATAATGCTTTCTCCCTAAAATTGGTAATAAGACAAGGATGTCTGCTCATATCTCTTCTATTCAACATCATGATGGAAATTCTAGCTGTTGTTATGAAGTAAAGAAAAGAAATCAAAGGCATACAAATTGGAAAGGCGGAAATAAAACTGTCTTTATTACCAGATGACATAATAACTATGTAGAAAATATTACGGAATCTATAAAAAGCCTCCAGATTCACTAAAAAGTGAGTTTTATAAAGTTGCAGTATACAAGATCAAAAATAAAAACAAATGTATTCCTATATATTAACAATGAACAATCTGAAAATGACATTAAGAAAACAATTCCATTCACAATAACATCAAAAAGAATATAATTGCCAGAAACAAGTTTCACAAAATAAGTGAAAGATCTGTACATTGAAAACTACAAACCATTACTGAGAGAAATTAAAGATCCAAATAAATGAAGAGATATACCACATTTATGAATTAAAAGGTTCAATGTTAATTTGGCAATTCTACACAAATTGTTCTATAGAATCAATGCAAAACCAGAATATCAGTTGGCCTTTTATGTAACAGAATAATTTAAAATCCAATCCTAGTATTTCTATAAAAATACAAAAGACACAGAGCAGCCGAAATCATTTTGAAAAAAGAGAAAAAAAAGTTGGAGGACTCACACTCTCTGATTTCAAGACTTAACATAAAGCTAAAGTAATCTAGAAAGCATGATATTAACATAAGAATAGACATATAGATCAATGGAACAGAATAGGGAGTCTAGAAATAAAACTTCACATTTCTGCTGATTCATTTTTGACAGAAGTGCTGAGGCAATTCAAGGGAAAAGGATAGTTTTTTTTTTTAACAAATGGTGCTAGCACAATTGAATATACATATGCAAAAAATGAATTTAGACCCTTCACACTATACACAAAAAATTATCTTAAGATGGTTTGTAGACTAAATATGAGAGCTAAGACTGTACAATTGTGAGAAGAAAACATAGGAAAAACTCTGTGACCTTGGGTTAGGGAAAGATTTCTTAGATATAACACTAAAATAATGATCCATATAGGGGAAAAAACTGATAAATTGTACTTTATGGAAATTAAAAACTTGTGTGCTTCAAAGGTGACATTAAGAAAATGAAAAGACAAGCTACAGACATCGAGAAAATATTTGCAAAACATATATCTTACAGAGGTCTTGTACTCTGAATATACGAAGAACTTTTACAACTTAATAAGAAGACAAGTAGCCCAATATACAAATAGGCAAAATATTTGAATAGACATGTTACCAAAGAAGATATATAAATGCTAATAAACACATGAAAATATGGTAAATGTGAAAAGATTAGAGAAATGTAAATTCAACCCACAAAAAGGTGTTACTACCCACTCACTACAGTGATTGTAATAAAAAAGACCGATTATACCAAGTGTGGGCAACAATGGGCAGAAACTGGAAACCTTATACTTTGTTGGTAGGAATATAAAATGGTATAGCCATTTTGGAAAACATTCTGACAATTTCTTAACAATTTAAATATACACTCTTCATAAAACTGAGTCATACTTCTCCTAGGTGTCTACCCAAGAAAAATGAAACATGCACACACGAACACTTATATTCAAATGTTCATAATGACATTATTCATCAATGCCCAAAACTGAAAACAACTCAAATGTCCATGTATTAATGAATGGACAATAAAAGTTAGTATATCCACACAATGGAATACTACTCAGGCATAAAAGAAACAAACCACTCATACATGCACCAACATGGATAACTCTCAACAGCATTATGCTAAGTAAAATACTATTAATATATACTGTATGATTCCACTTATTTAAAAACTCTAGAAAGGCAAAACTACTCAGAAAGCAGATTAGGGGTTACCTGGGGTTAGGGGTAGGAGCAGGGATGGGTGGCAAATGGGCATGAGGGAATTTGGGATGGTGAATGTTCTAAGGATTATGGTGATCGTTACAGAATTATATCATTTTAGCTAAATTTATTAAAGTATACACTTATGTTTGTGAATTCTACAGTATGTAAATTATACACACGAGGTACATAAAAAATTAATTACTCCACCCTAATAACCAAGATATTTTAAAGAGATATGTGTGTATGATATCATCCCATCTTTATTAAACATATATACTATATATATTCACATACGTGTGCTGGTAGTCTAAAGACTTTCTGGGAGTAGACATACAAAACGTTTGCCTCTTGGAAAAAGGACTGCAAGTCTAGGATAGGACATGAAATTACTTTCATTGTATACCTTCTGACATTATTTGCTTAAAACAATTAAACCATGTATACTGTCACTTTATAAATAAAAAATCCTGGTAAATAATTGACAACAAACAACTACAGTCCTGATATAAGGACCCAGGCCTGCTACTCTGCTCTTGAAGATCTATGCTTAACTGAATGATGTCAGAAGCACTTCTGAGTCACCTATAATAAGATAATCAAAGTGAATTTCATCACAAAAGCATGATGCTAGTTCCTATTAATTTCAGAAAGATGACTGCAAAGTGTGGGAGTTCGGGGAAACTCAAGAGGTTTTCAACTGGAAGTGCTTAGAAGCATCACAGGGTACTACATTCTGCAATTCTACACTAGCCAGAAAATAAAAGCAAGTCCCTAACCCCCAAACACAAACAAAATGCAAACAAAACTTTGATTACCGGAGGATTAAATGGGGCAGGGCAGGGAGGAGGATGAGTGAGAACTGGGTAGCCTAGCTGATAGCAGGTACACAATAACATTTTCAGAAAGGTACAAATTACAATCATATAAATAGAAGATTTCAAAGTACTTTTCTCCTGCTATGCCATGCTTTTAGAAGAAGCCATTATATATAAAATGTGTCTGAATTTGTTTTTCCATGAATCATACAGTGGATACTGCACAGTGGTTTTCAGTTATACCTTTTAATATCAAGGACCTATTCCAAATATTTGATTTTTAATTGAACATTATGAAGATAGGGCTATTTAATTAGCAATATTTGTTTTAATCTGAAACAAGCAACAGGAGAAATTAAAATACATTGTCAACATTTAATTATCAAAATTCAAGTGCTATTTTGTAACAATGCCATAAGAAGGTCAAATTTAAGATTGTTTTCCTATCATGTTAATTTCCCCTTTTAATGTAGGAATATAATATTTTGTAGAGTGTTGCTCATAAATGTCTGGTATTTTTGTCCATTCCTAAACAAGAAATCAACAACGCAATATCTCCTTGAAGGGGAAATACCTGCAGAGAAGGCCAAATAAATCATAAAAGGTGCTTCTTTCTTTCGGCTTCGACTGCTTTCCTTGTATTTCAAATGGACAGGGTTTTCATGCCGTTTTGAGTGCTTCGAACAGGAAATCACTTATTTGCCACAGGTATATTCTTCGCACATGAGTTCCTCACTGTACTGATCCTCCCGATCCATCCCTGCTGTAGCTTCTGTGTTAATTTAGACTCAACGTGCACTTAGTGAACACCTATTGTGGGCCACTGAATACTAGGAACAATACCATTTTGTTATTATTCAACTATAGCAGATGAGAGAGCTGAGGCTCATGGACTTTAAGTGTCCTAATTCCCCAAATTGGTAGGTGGGAAAACCGGGACATGGCCTGAACCTTTCCTTTTACATTCTGTTTTTGGGTATCCCTTTGTCTATGGCTCCTTGTCTCCCTCTCCCTAGTTTCACTGGTCATCAAGAACAAGTGGCAGAGAAGTCAAGGAGGGGCCCTCTGCTTGTCCCCATTCTCTTCCCCATAGGGAAGGCAGAGGAGAAGAAACATCTAGGGCTCAGAGCCTCCCCACACTCCTCACTGGTCCCATTGCCATACTTCACCCAGAACACTCAGCCCAGAACTTCAGGCCTTCAGCCCTCACTGTGTTCCTTTACTTTCTTACCAGATCATGGGAGGCCCTATGGGTAACTGTTGCCAGAGCAGCCCCTGTAGTAGTGGAAGAAGTGTCCTGAACAACCCTACCCCAAACTCTGAAAAGATTTTCCTATAGCAGCACAGCTCCCAGTGGTCCTTATGGGGATTATCAAGACTATGCCTGGGCTTGGTAAGGGTTGAACCAACTTCCACCCACCAGCCTGGAATCCTGAGTACAATTTCAAGCATTGCTTCCTTCGGAAAAGCACGTTTCTTAATTAAATCAATGGGAAACCAGTTTGAGTTCTCTCCAACTGACGCACTAATGAGCTTTTGAAATAAAACACATTCATCGTTGGGGATTCAATCTTTAACCCTCTAAGTTCATATCAATATGTTTGTAAGACTGAGAAACTATTATTATTGTGTTTAATATAAAATAGGAAAAGATACATTCTCCAAATTAAAAAGCACAGCGTCCTGTACTCATGGTTTTCTCTCTTACTCTTTTACCTTTACTTTTAAAAGTATGATTTCATTCAATTCCAGAGAAACCTTCATTTTGACAATATTATTAAAGGGCCCTACTATTTTACCAACATATGTTATTGCTGAGCCACAGTTTGTCTTACCTCCTCGATGGATAATCAAAGAAGTCTCACTTCCAATGGGACAGTCCTTAAGTATATCCACTACTTCTGTATGGCTCAGGTTCTGTACATTCTGCTGGTTGATCTCAACAATGAGGTCACCTTCACACAGGCCAGGGCATCCCTGAATGTCAAGTATTTGTTTCACCCGCTGTCCTGTGGGACTGTCGGCAATGGTGAAGCCAAAGCCCTGGGCACCTTTCACAATGGTTAGGGTCATGAGTTCAGCTTGGGTGGCCCCAGAAGAAGCCATAGACACATTGTCATCATGGACGGGTGGTGGATACGTGCCATCTAGCTGACCATCAGCTGGCATGGAGTGCAAAGAATGAGGCGGCCGATCTGTTATATCTGGAACCGACTGTGAGGTCCGAGAAATGTATTCCAAATATGTTTCATAATTATGTCTTCCATTGACCATCACTGGGGGTGGCCTCTCCATTATTGCAAGGGGTGGCACCACGCTGTTAGCAGGATCTTCAGGATCAAAGGGCAAAGGGTAGCCACGACACAACACCAGGTTGACACTCTGACCAATAGGAACAGACTGGAAAAGTTTGACAACATCTGCATGAGTGTGCCCAAGGACACAAACTTCATTAATATAGACAATGACATCACCTGCAAGGAAAAAAGAAAGAGATTGACAACATGAGGTAAGTTCAATTAACACTGACATCGAGAAATGGAATTATTTATGAGACTAGTGACAGAGGTGCTCTGTTTCTCAGTAAGCAGTGAGAAAATCAATTAGAATAATACTTAAATTCACTGTAGGTGACTCAAGGTTACAACAGGTCTGCCAACAAATATAATTATCAAGTGCTGGAAAAAATGCTGTTTGGTTATTCTTAAAGTTCAGAAACAACTTCACATTCAGAAAAAAGGCTAGAAGAATTTGTACCTTGAAGAAGCACATGTTCGATGCTTCTTTTTCATCTTCATTTCCATCTTCAGTGCAATTCAGTTAATAGAAATTTCAAACTATTGAGAAGTGGTGGTCATGAGTTTGAGATGAAAAAGAAAGCCCTGATATATGGGCTTTTTGGTATAAGTTGAATGAGTCAATTGCCAATTACCTTTTTTCTTTTTTATGGAAGAGAAAAATATTTGCCCATTTATTTTTTTCCATCTGTAGCAGGTGTAAATACAAAACTTCCATGTATATGCAAGCAAAGGTTAAGAGCACAAGTTTTGGGATCAGGGAGCTGGGTTGATACCCTGGTTCTGCTACTTAACAGATATGGGATATTGGGCAAGTTACTTACCTGCTTTGAGCCACAGTTTCTCATTTGTAAAGAGGACGAAATAAGGTAACACAGGAAAGTGCTTGGCACAGTGCATAATACATGAGTGCTCAATAAATGTGGGCCATTATTAATATTATTATTATTAAAATAGAATGGAGGAGATTTGGGTCCCTGGCCTTCACATAAGAAGCTTCCATAGGCTCATACTCTCATTTTAAATTGATATTTCTGTTGATCATTTTCAATAAAGGTATGTCCTCTCTCTGCAATGAATTATCACAGATTTGTAGAAGTCTACTGGTTAGAAGCTAACTTTGATATTAGAAATATGCTGAATGTAAATTATTCATTATAAAGTATATTCAGAGAAACAATTTTTCTCCTTCAAATGTAGAAAATCATGGTTGTTTCAGATAATTGTTTTAAAATTTTTCAGTTATGTATGAATAACAACTTTATTTTTAGAGAACTGTTCTATCATGGATTGATATTTTTATCTTCACAAAATATAGTACTTGAAAATTGAACTTGCAAATTGAGATTGTGCCTGACTATACTGAAGAGTATATGAGGGCTGAAAAGACATGTTTTCACAGATTGTCAAATAAGTAACTCAACAGACATCAATTTATCAGGATAATTCTGAAATGGGTAGTGCAAATGGGTAGGGATTTTATTCTGAGACATCCTTGCCCATCAAAATTGCAAACACCAAAAATGAAAAGCAGAGTTGAACTTTGAGTTAAATACTTTTCTGGTATTTTGTAGGTATATGATATAAGATGATTTCTTCATTAAATGCACTTAAAAATAAATAATTCCATGAATAAAATAATCCTAAGTAAAGTACCCTCAACAACACTGCCTTCATTAATGCTCATTCTTCCCAAATGCTGGAGAATTGTTTGAAAGTGCTAAAGATATAGACAGAAAGACGAAACAGACATTTTCAGAGATCCAGGCTAGGTCTGGCTCTAGAATATGTCACAGCCTGTCAGATGGAACTTCACTCTCTCATTACGTCTATGGGAGAGAGTGCCGAAGTGATGGCTGGAACATTGGACCAGGACTCAGAACTGAATTGGAATGGCTGTCCCCTCCCTCTTGGCTATTGTGATTCCTCATTAGATTGTGGCAGCTGGGGATGCTTTGGGCATCATTTTCAATTGATTCTGGTCATCTCAGTGTCCCAGAGAAGTGTCTGATTCAGATAGACTGCTTTTTTCTTCCTGTTTCTTCTACTTTTTTTATTTACACACTTAAAATGTTGAAAGAATAACAAAACCCTGTGTACCACCATCCGATTTAATGATTAGAACATTACTCCTATTAGTTGAAACTCCCTGGACTAGCACCTCTCACATCACCTGTGTTCTTTCACTGTGCTTTCCAAAGGTAACCATTGTTCTGAATCTGAGGCTTGTTATTTACATGCATGTTATATTTCATGTGTTATATAGGTACCCACAAAAACAATATATCTCAATACTATTTAATTACTAAATAATAGTAATCCATATAAAGTGTTTTATATATTTTAAGCCTTTTGTAAATGGCATACATTTTAATATTCTGTAATTTTTCTCAAAATATGTTTGTGAATATATTTTGATACTTGTGCCTCTAGTTCATTAATTTTCATTGTCATATTGTATCTATTGGATGGCTGCATTACTGTTAACATTTATCCATTCTCCTATTAATGGACTCTGGAGTTCTTGCAAATTTTTGACTACTAAAGATAAATGCCTAGAACCTCTTTCCATGGTCCTTATGCACATGGGGGAGAGTGTTTTTGAGGTATGTACCTTGGCACGGAATTGTAAGGCATAGGCCATGTGCATCTTCAACTTTGTTACATAATGGCAAATGGCTGAAAAAATAGGTCATAACAATTTACATTCCTTTCAGTAGTGTATCAGAATTTTCATTATTCCCCCTCTGAGACAATACTTGGTATTCTCAGACTTAATTTTCACTAATCTAATGGGTGTGATCATAGTTTTGATTTGCTTTTCCCAGACTGCTAGTGAGGGAGAGCATCTTTTCATAGGTTTATTGGCCATTTGTGTTTTCTCTTGGGTACATATCATATCCCCAATCTTCCTAGTCAGTGTCAGCGAATCTGAGTCTTTTTTCTTATATTGACTATTTTTGATGTCCACTTTCATTCTTGATCCAATAATCTCTGTAGGTCTGGGAGGCTGCATGAGATAGTAGATATTGTATGGGATATCAAGTCAAAAGATTTTGGTCTGAGTTTCAGCCCCAATACTTACTAGCTTTGTGACTTCCAAAAACTAGCTTAAATCTTCTGTGACTCATATTCTTCCGAAGTAATGAGGAACAATAAAAATAGCAACTTACTGTTCTCTGGGAAATAACAAACGAGATCATACAGGTGAAAGAGTTTGTAAGCTGTAAATTGTTATGCAAAAGATGATTGCTATTTCAGTAATTATTATCTGTCCTTGGTTATATCCTTCTATAAAATCAGGACAGTCCTATTAAGATATTCCCACCACAGTTACAGTCTAGGATGACTTGAATATGATTGCGGAAATGATGGGTTTCTGAATGGGCAAGTGGAAAGCAGTAAGGTAACAAATGCCACTTTTCTCTAAGCCTCTCCCGAACTTCAGTTACTGTTAACCCCCCAGTCCCCAAGCATGCTTTATCCTTCCCTCTGTTCTGCCGCAATTTCATAGGAAAAGAGAACTAAGGGTAATGTTCAAAGCTCTCAAGGTTCCCTGCCATGTCTAAAAAGTAGTGATTTGAATCATAGTGATTAATGTTATCTGTTTTTGAGTTTTAATGTGATCTTGCTATTTAGAAACAGAGTGAGGGCTACTGTGGTTCTTAGTAAGACTGTCTTTTAAAATTTATGGATATTTTCCACTCAGAGCAATTTTTCAAGTCATCAAGCAAGCAAGTGATAAAGAATCTTGCAATAATATCTTTATGAAGATACACAGAAGCTTTGTGAATGTAAAAGATGAGTGGTCAGTTATCCCAAAATAAAACTAACAACTTGACAGTGCTCAAACACCCATTTTAAAAAATATATCGATGCCTAGATAATGTGTCATGCCAAAAACTGTCGCAGACGGAAATGTAAGCAAACATTTGCTTGTTCAGGTAGAACTGATTGGGTAGGATATTTACAGGCTGTGCTGTATGAATGTCATTTACATGTTGTGAAATAAAAATATGAGACACCTGGTATATGTCACGTGATAGGGCCAAGCCAAGTCCTGGGATAGACTGGGTTTAAGAGCACAGAAAGGGACGTCATCAGGAAAATTGGCTCTAGCCATATCTAACCTGTTGGCCTATTTATGAGGGAAAATTGGAAGAGTCACTTGATTTCTCCATCTCTCAATTTCTTCTTTTATAAAACGGGAATTAAAACATCTCCTCCATTTCCTCTTTTGCAGGGCTACTGTGAAAATGATATTATCCTTATGAAAATACTCTTAATTTTACCAAATTAAGGTTCTCCAGAAAAATAAGATGATGCATTTCTTTTGAAAGCTAAGCACATATTTTCATTATTATATTGTCTGAAAGGTTTATTGTTTCCTAAATGGCCATTCACTTTAGGCCACATGTAGGTTAGACAGTTTTAGGGCTACTGACCTCAGGCCTACTGGTCAGATTAGGTGTGAGTGATGAGTTAGGTATACCCATAGATCTGGTCTCACAATGACCTGATTCCCAATGTGGGACTTCAAAGTGCAAGTCAGGGAGAGGGAGGTCGATGAAGTAGGTCCTATATGAGAAAATGTTCTAAGATAATTTGTTTCTTTCTTAGTCATGGGAATCAAAATACAGCATTGGATACCTCATGGATGCCTCATCATTTTGGATAAAATAGGGCACTCTTTATAAAGCATTGTTTAAATTTGAGTTATTTTTGTACCTCTTCCCTCTGCTCCCACATTCTTTGAGTCACTGTAGCCTACAGAATCTTCCTTTTCAGCATCTCTCACCACTTGCTGTCTGCATTGCTTAACCACCACCTTGGACCAGACTGGAATAATTTACTTCCTACTCAACTCCTATCTTATAGTCTACTCTATTAAGTTCAAACCACTCAGTCTCTAGACCTACTGTTTAACACTCTTTACCAACAATCTTTCCAAAGTCTTTATCCTTGTCTTCACTACCCAGTGTTGCCATTCTTGTGAAGCTGGTATCTTTACTCACAACTTACAACTTGCTACTTGCCTTTTAGTTGAATTCTGCTGTTCTTCTACCCTCAAGTGCACTTCCTTTCTATGAATAACTCCAACCCAACTAATTCATTTCTTTCCTCACCTCTTCAAAGATATCTTCCATAAGTCCTTCTGAAATCACTCCTATTTTATG